CTTCTCTTACTGCAAAGATTCTCAGGGACATTCTGCTGGGCTTGTATTGCCTTGCTATTCCTCCCCCCCCCCCATTGGAAACAATGGAGAATTGGACTCCCTGGTCCAATCTTTTCGAAACTTGGGGGTTCTTTTGGGGAGAGGTTCCAGCAGCTATGCTGCAAAATCGGTGCCTCTATTTCAACACACACCCTCCCAACCACTGAATATACCCTAGGAGATTTGCCATTGACTATAATAGCCTCATAGGGTATAATGGACAAAAATACATTCAGGTTTCCCAAAAATTTCCTGAATCCGGAAATCATACCAGTATTGGTATTTGGGAATATTTGTCAATACACCAGTTTGCTGTAGTGGTTAAGTGTGCGGACTCTAATCTGGTAGAACCGGGTTTGATTCCCCACTCCTCCACTTCCACCTGGCTGGATGACCTTGGGCAAGCCCTAGTTCTGACAAGAGCTGTCCTTGAAAAAGAGCAGTTTCTGTCAAGAGCTCTCTCAGCCCCACCCACCTCACAGGGTGTCTGTTGTGGGGAGGGGGAGGGAAAGGAGATTGTCAGCCGCTCTGAGACTCCCTTGGGTAGTGAAGGGCGGGGTATAAACCCAATCTCCTCCTCCTCCTCCTCAATATTGATATTATTCGGGTTCAATATACCCAAATTTAAAAGGGGGGGTTGCACACCCCTATGAAACAGGCCTTATTTGCCAGCAGCGTGGATCACTGAACTGAAGTCTCTTTTGGAGATACTGATGCTAGAACTGAGAAAAGTGGATTAATTAAGCACTTGTACTTATTTTATACATATTGTTCTGCTTTATACAGCTTGTCCAGATGCTGCCTGACAGCCGGAAGCTGTGAAGGTCTGTCTTCTGTTCTCACCACAAGCCAGGCCCTCACAGAGCTGGACGTGTCAAGGAATATGCTTGGAGACTCAGGAGTAATAATACTGTGTGAAGGGCTAAAACATCCAAGCTGCAAGCTGCTGAATTTGAGGTAGGTATTCTGAGCATAACATTATGCTGATACTTGCTGTGGGCCTGTGAGAAATCATGGGAACGAGGAAGAACTTGGGAATCACAATCCCCCCCCCCCCCCCCCGATTCTGTAGGAGGCTGGACTGGTGGATTGCAAAGAAAAGCAGGCTTTTAAAATTCCTGCTTGTATCAGAGATTCAGGGAGTTCTTGAGTTAATCTTCCCTGCAGAGAAGAGCTTATGTGATTGGCTGCTCTACTTGCCATCTGATTGGCCAACATCAGCTGAGAGAGAAAATAAAACAGCTGATCTGGAGGGAAAAGAGATCTTTTCGCCTTTGGTCTTTTGCAAATGCGTCTTTCTAACATTTGGATCAGTAGCCAGATGGTTTGGCTTCTGAGCGAAGAGACGTTTGGGAGTCAGTGTTTTCGAACAGGGAAAGGTCAGTTGAAATCAGTGGTAAACGTTTCTTAAGCTTTTCACAGTGTGTCTTGATTATATTTGACTCTTTTGGTTTCCAGAAGACGGGGATAATCCGTCCAGTACCCAAACTCCTTGACTAAACACACCAGTACACTTTCTTGAGTTTTAACTGACTCTTCAGGATTTAAAAAGGCAGTTTCTAAACACACCAGACCAGGGATCTCTCCACTCTTCAGAGCTATCTCCCTGTTTTCTGGCCCGAATCGTAGACTTCTCCGATCTACCCACTTCTCCTGCCAACCTCCCCAGTTCTCCATCAGGGCTAGACTCAGACTCATCAGTACTAGACACTGGTGATCACCAGGCCCAAGGGATATCTGCTTAGCCTTGGCCAGGGCATTTTCTGGCGCTGGCGCTGGCCTGGTGGAACGTGCACCCACCTGAGATCATGTCAGGTCCCCCACAGCAAACGACGTAGTACACACTTGTAAGAAGGTTTTATTTTATTGAGGCCATGAAGCACTAGAACAGGAGCACTGTTCAGAATAACGAAGGTTGAGGTGCATGAAAGGATAAAGCAAGTTCATAATTACAATAGCCAATAGATATGGTTCCTGCGCGCGGCCAAGAGGCCCCGCTCGCGCTTAAACCCTGAGAAGCAACGGTTCCTTAACTATAAACAATTAGCCCATTCCCACAACTACTGCTCATTAAAGACTAAGCAAAGCCTTCTGTGCTCTTCCACCTGTGGCCTTGGCGAGATAGCATTACATCAAAGCAAGACTAGCGTTCATAGAAAGGAATGCAGACAAATGGGAAGCTGTGCGCATGACAGGCTGGACGCACTTGCGAGACTGGAGGGAGAAGAAATTATACATAAACAGGAAAGAACCTTTGGAAGCTTGCTGACAGATCAGGGCCCTGTGGGATTGTTACCATTCCACAGGGCCTGCAAAATGGATCCATCCCACCAGGCCTTTGGCTGAGAAGGCGGGTGTCCAATAAAATCTCGGCCTCCCCTGCTGAAGCTACCATCTCACGTGGCCCAGGTTAAGAAGTTCGAGAGACCAGTGGCGCTAGCTGGAAACCTGTATGAGGATAAATAGTGCGCTCTGTTTTAATTTATGTTGTTTTAAATTATCTTAATTGCTTATATCTATATTTTAAATGTCTGAAATTTTTAATATGTTTCTGATATTGTGTTGTGATCCGCCTTGAGACCGCTTGTGGGGAGGGCGAAATATAAATTTGAGTAATAAACAAATAAATAAATGAATTCTCAGTCAGGGCTGAATTCAGACTGCCACTCCTCAGCGTTCAGCTGTCAAGTCTTTCTCTGCTCAACTGATGCTAACCAAACAAATTCCTTGGAGCAGCCTGTCACTCAAGGTTCCCTGGCTCCGTGAGGAATTAACCCTTCACAGCCTGTTTACACAGCACTTACATGATTTTAAAGTGCCGTCTGTCACAGTTGCCTCTTATATGCACATTATAGTACAGGTCTCATTTTCCTTTTAGAGGAGTTGTAGGAGGTGAGCTAAAACAGAAATAAGCCCATATTATTTGTTCCCTGTATTTGTTTTCTCCCATTGCGAAGGCAATCCTGCGATTCCACTGCACCTGATAACATTGGCACAGTGTTGGCATGGTATAGTTGGGATCCTGAACACTCCCAATAGAAGTATCAACAGTAAATCAATGCCAAATTGCAGAAAATATGGTATATAGAGATAATACCAGCAGATACTATCCCGTTAGCCATGGCCTAACGATTGGCGCCAAGCAGCAATCACAGGTAACATGTTAACTGAGATCCATTCCACATGTTACTTTACCATATAACAGGGGTGGCCAAACTGTGGCTCTTTCACACATATTGTGCGGCTCCTGGCAAGGCAGCTGGGGAAGCAGAGGGGAGGCATGCCTCCCCGATCACTCTTCCCTTCTCCAGCCAGTGTTCCCCTCCCTGGGTAGGCGTAAGGTGGGGGGAGGGGAGCAGAGAAAGAAAGCAAACTTTAAATGTATTCTCAAAGCTCCCCCCCCCCCAGCTGGCTTAGAAAAGGCATTTGTTTCTTTAAATCCCTTCTCCAAGCCAAGCCAGCTGGTGTGGGGAGGTGGAGAACACATTGAAAGTTAAAGTTGCTTTCTTTCCAACTCTCTCTTCCTCCCACCTCCATTTATCTGCTTTCTTTCCACCTCTCTCTCTCTCTCTCTCTCCCCCCCTTCCTCCATCCCTCCCTCCATCTATTTGCTTTCTTTCCATATCTTTCTTTCTTTTCACCTTTCTTCTCTCCCTCTTTCTCCCTTCCTTCCCCTCTTTCTCCCTTCCTCCCCCATCTTTACTTCCTTTGTTGCTTTCTCTCTCTCTCAGTGCCTTCCCCTCCCTCCTCACCTATTTGCTTTCTTTATTTCTCTCTCTCTCTTTCTTTCCACTTTCATTCTTTCTTTCCACCTCTCTCTCTCTTTCTCTCAGATAAATAAATATTATCGGACAAATAAATATCATTATCAATATCTGCTTTATCCCTTCTGTTTTTATTTTTGGCAGTCTCATTTAATGTTAATAAGAGGTAGATTTGCATATTTTCCAATAAAAATGTGTGCAATATTTGTTCATGTCCTGCAGCTCTCAAACATCTGACATTTATTCTGTGTGGCTCTTATGTTAAGCAAGTTTGGCCACCCCTGCCATACACAAAAGAACATTAACATATTACATGAATATGAACCATCGTGGACCTTACCAATTGAGCCCTATAAGTGCTGGATACCAGGGATAGCTCAAGCTGTGAGGGTCCAAATCCCCTTACACCACAGTTTGCAGACAGGATAACATGCAGGAAGACAGAAGTAAGAAAAGATAAGTGTATCTAGTTTATCAATCTCCTTATCTGATTTGGGAGGGGGAACCATGAGAGAATTCAGGACCATGGTTCATTTGCACTAGGGGCCTGTCACAGCTTTCCTGGTCAGCCATTGACTGGCCTCCCGTCACCGTCCTGCCTGTGGGTTAGTCCGCCTTCCACACCCCTCGGGGCTCTAGATTGGCCTCATTGGTCAGGAGACAAGGATTGTGAAGGCCGAGGTAGGGATTCCCAAGGAAGAGGGAGAGTAGGCCTCAGAATGGAGGCTGCTTGGAGTTGTGGCACCCCTCCACCCTTCTGGGTGATCCAGCTTCCCTTGCTTTTTCTCCAGCAGATAGGGCTCTCTCTCTCTCTCTCTCTCTTTTGCTCTCTCCCAAGCTGGTCCCATCTCCTCCTCGGCTGCCTCCCTTCTTCTCTCTTATCCTCTCCTCACTCCCTCTCTGCCCCTTTCAGTGGGCCCCGCTCCTTCCGCCTCCACCTCCCTGGTGCCCGTTGGTTGGACTGTGCAGTGAGCCCATTGTTGCCTGGGCAGGTCAGGGTCTCACCCCGGATCGCCTGTGCCGTGCACAGAGAGGCCTGGCCCGCCCTTCTCCATGGCTCTGGCCTCAGCTGGTCGCCAGCCCTCCCAGCAACCCCATCCTGATGCTGCCGTGCCTTGTCCCACTCATCTGGAGTTGAGCACGGGCCCCTGACGCTCTTTGGTGTGGCTGTGTCTGCCTTGCCACCCTGCTGCCACACCCCCGGGGCTGCCCCTGGCCTTTTCCATCTCTCTGGTAAGTTGGGGGCAGGGAGGGAGCCCCTGCGTCATCGCTTCGTCCTCCGTGGTCTCTCTCCCTTGAAGCACCTGGGCGGGACCAGGACAGGACCATATCTTGCCAGCAGAACAATGTCACTATGAGGAGAAGATGCTTTTTAAAAGGGGGGAATGGAGATGCAAGGGGAAACAATAGAAAAATTGCAAATGTGGATTCACAGACAGTGCCCTGTGACCTCCCCAAGAGGTCAGTGGGGGAAAGCACAGAAAACTAGAGGGATCTCAGAAATATATGAAGTAGAAAGTTGTTTCCTTCGATATGGAGTAGAAAGGTGAGGGTTGGTTTACCAGGGGTTTACCCATACTGTGATAGTGGGCATGCAGGTGCATCCTCACAGCTTATAATGGGTGAAGTGGTGATATATACTTTTACACTCAATTTGCATGCTATTTTCCCACTCGAAAACAAACCATTGTAGCAGAAATTTCAGCCAGATGTTTCCGATGAAAACATAACCACAACAAAGGACCTTTTCAGGAACAAACTGGAGGATATTGGTTAATTCTGCCCATGTCTGCACATGGTTAATTCTGCCCATGTCTCCTCCCAAATATTCCCCATCTTTTTTTTTCTCCAGCACCAATTACTTCTATATGCTTTTGAAAATGCTTTGCATCACCGCACTGCTATTGCATAAGTTATTGAGACAACCTATGAAGCATTGTTCCACCTTCTTGTCTAATTTGTCCCTTAAAGACCGACACTCAGAGGAAAAAGTTGGAGCATCAATAACGCATGATATTTTCTGTATGAACCTTGAATTTTCGCTTAGGTTACAGTTTTGCAAACTGACAGCAGCATGTTGTGGGGAACTTTCCTGTATGTTCCCTGCCAGCCAGACACTGATAGACCTGGATTTGTCGGGAAATTACCTGGGAGATTCTGGGATCATCTCATTGTGCGGTGGGTTAAAACATCTGGATTGCCGACTGCAGAAGCTCAAGTGAGTATCTGTGAGCAAAACAGCAACAAAAAAGTAAGAAGATGGGGAAAGGTATCTTCCATATAATTCATATTTGACTGTTGCTCAGCTGTTGCTCAGAAGGGGAGGCCGAGGGGGAACATGATTGCTCTCCTTAAGTCTTTGAAGGGCTGTCCCTTAGAGGAGGGCAGGGAGCTATTCCTCTTGGCTGCAGAGGCGAGGACTCGCAAGGATGGGTTTAAATTAAGGGCGGGAAGGTACCAGCTGGATATTAGGGAAAACTTTTTGACAGTCAGAGTTGTGCAACAGTGGAATCAGCTGCCCAGTGAGATAGTGAGTGAGCTCCCCCTCACTCGCAGTCTTTAAGCAGTGTCTGGACAAGCACTTATCAGGGATGCTCTAGGGCTGATTCTGCACTGAGGGGGGGGGGGGTTGGACTAGATGGCCTGTATGGCCCCTCCCAACTCTGGGATTCTATGATTCGATGTTCAGTAGCCCAGCCTCAGGACAAGTGGGCTCTGTCCTCTCTGATATAGTTCAGAAGGGGTCTCTTTCTGGAAGCTCCCTGGCCATGGCCTGGCAAAAGTGTGTTCTGGGTTTGCACAGTTTGCAAAGATGTGGGCATTTCCCCTCTTTGGGCCAGAGGCATGTTCCCTATGACCTTTCTAGGAACACACAGTGCTCAAGCTTCACTCCAAAGTAGCCAGGAACCAATGCCTTCTGAGGGATTTGAAATGGTGGACACAAAGGTCACATCTCTTCCAAGCAAAGCAGAGCCAAGTCTCTGCGGACTTATAGCTCACAGCTGATAGCCTGTCTGAATTCACTGTCCTCTATGGTCATTGTTTTTAATGCTATTGTAGATTGCCCAGAGCCCTGCGATAGCAGGATGATTCATAAATTTAATAAATAAACAAACAAACCCGTCTCATCTGAAAGAGGAGTTGTGAACTGGACTTGCCATTGCTTTAGGGTTCTCTCCCATTTGAAACAGGGCTATTTTTGGGCAGGAACGCACAGGAACGGAGTTCCGGCTGGCTCCCAAGTTGGCCACGCCCAGCAGGAACTCATTAGCGTAATAGGCCACACCCAACAGCAGAAACTCATTCGGATTGGCTACAATTAGGGGTGTGTGGCCTAACATGCAAAAAGCCCTGAGTTTTGACAACAAACAAGGTAAAGAGAATAAGAAGCAAAAGGTGGGTGTGGCTGGATGACCACGCTTCTGGTAACATGGGGGTGTGGCCTAATATGCAAATGAGCTGTGCTGTCAGGGGTGTGGCCTAATATGCTAATGAGTTCCTGCTGTTGGGTATGGCCTATTATGCTAATGAGTTCCTGCTAGGCTTTTTCTACCAAAAAAGCCCTGGGAAGAAATATGTGAAATTGCTACTTTTGATTTGTCATTCTTGAGGAGGGGGAATCTTTGAATTTTGCTGGATTGAAATATATATGCCAAAGACAATAGTGTAGAAATGTAGCCACAAACTATATCCACCAAGGGAAGACCATCTACGATTCACAACTATGTTCAAAGCTACATATTATATACATTGAAATACAAAGAAGGGTTAGAGCCCTAGGATTCCATTGAAGTATTTTGAGTTGTGCCTGTGTTATTTTGGAAATTGGGTTCCGTCTTACCAGCCGCTGTTGAAGATCATTGAAACACTTGATTTATACCTGGGAGAGGCATTCGGCTGTTATTCTTTCCACAGTGGGAGTCTTCTATTGCAGTTACTTTCTGGTTGGAAGTCTACGGACACTGTCTATGTATGGAATTGTAGAAGAGCCTACTGTTGGTTTTGAACATGTTCTTTTTTCAAACTATGTTTAGTTGTCTTGAGCAATCTGTTGGATCAATGTTTATACACTCTATTGGGTTGTGACCACTAACCCTTCTTTATATTTCAATGTATATAATACATTTTGAACATAGTTGTGAATCGTAAATGGTCTTCCCTTGATGGATATTGTTTGTGGATTGAAATATACATACATTAATGTTTGTTATCCTACAATAGTTATTTATATGTATTAATAAATTGCCATTTTTAGTGCTGTATTTGTACCCTACAGCCACATACTTGGTACTTTGTTTACAAGGTCCAATTTCCCATCTTGATCCCAGCTGGCTCAATCAGACTGCTTGGATGCTGAGCAGGAAATCTTGCTGAAAGAGGATTTGTCAACACAGGGAACTAAAAAAATCATGTCTTCCAGAAGACAGTCTACTTTGCACCTGTATGGCTGCACCTGGAAGGCTTATGTAAGGTGGTGCAGGAGGAAACGCAGGGTCCTTGAAACGCAAATATATACAGGATAACATATCTCAAGCACTGAGTCCAACACACTTTGTACACGGGAAGTAGCCGCTTTATCATCTGTCCTGTCTCCAGTTGAAGATTCTCTCTGTCTTGAAACCTTTAGTTAAAAGTGATTTTTTTTTTCTTAAAGGCTGCTTCCCTTACACTTCCTCCAGCTGTGTAATGTTTCCCTCCTGGTGTGGCAAGCTCTCACTAAGTCTCCTTTTGAACCAATAAAAGAGAGTTTGCTCAAGCTATTCACTCTCAAGGTATTGTTTTTGGTGGCTGTTGTATAAACCGGGGCGTTGTAGCTAGGTGTGGAAATGTAAGCAAAGAGAGGCAGTTTTTGAAATCGTCTAATCAATGGCTATTTTCTGAACTTCTTCTGCAGGTTGTCTCGCTGCTCTTTTACACAAGCTTGTTGTAGCGATCTTGCCCAAGTTCTTAGTAAAAACCAGCATCTGAAAGAGTTAGATCTGTCTAACAATGAATTAAGAGACAATGGAGTGAAGCTGCTTTGTGATGGTATCAAACATCCAGACTGTAAAGTAGAGACACTACTGTAAGTGGCCAGTGTTAAAATTGGGGGACCTGCAATATATGAATTTTAATGCTACTCAGCTTCATGGTAGTGTTTAACTGAGCAAGGAGAGAAGAATTAGATGAATACTTCTGCTTATGTTGAGGTGTCACTTACAGGCTGGCTGATTGTACCTTAACATCTGCTATCTGCAAGGATTTCTTTACTGCTGTGTCTGCAAACCAATCTCTGACGAAACTGGTTATCAGTCTCCTTGAGTCAGTACGAAGAAGCAAGAAGCTACTCCATGATGCACTCTATGATGCACTGAAATGTACAGGTAGAAAACAAAGGACACTACTGTAAGTTGCCATCAAGGGCGTAGACTTTCCAATTTTCCGGGGGGGGGGGCTGGGGCTGGGCCAGAGGCATTGCTAAGTCATTAAAAGAACTGGGACCCAATGACATCATAGGGAGGAGCTAGTGACATCACAGGCATGGTCATTATCTATGGAGGTGGACCCATGTGGGATTTAGGGATGGGCTCCCCAGAAATTTAGGGAGGCCTGGGAACCGCCCTAGCAATGTCCCTGGGCTGGGCTAACCCCAGGAACAGTTGCCTTCTTAGAACACTGCTTAGAAACTTAGAAAGCCCCACACACACCCCACACTGGAATAAGAACATAATATCAGGCCATACCACATTGCAATAAAGCCCCTACAACTTTATACAGAAATACTGAGCTTCCCTACCATTTGCCACAACTAGCCCACCACACAAGAAGAAGAAGAAAAGATAGGATTTACACCCCGCCCTTCACTACCCAAGGGAGTCTCAGAGCGGCTTACAAACTCCTTTCCCTTCCCCTACATACCACATTGCAATAAAGCCCCTACAACTTTATACAGAAATACTGAGCTTCCCTACCATTTGTCACAACTAGCCCACCACACAAGAAGAAGAAGAAAAGATAGGATTTACACCCCGCCCTTCACTACCCAAGAGAGTCTCAGAGC